ATGGAGTAAGATACTTATAAATTCTCTAGGTTCTATGTAAAAACCAAACGAAATTCTAAGAAATTAGCATTTAAACAAAAATTATTAAAAAAAAAAGTCTGAAATGTTTTAAGATGTTAAATTTCGCTGAAAGGGGCGTTTCTTTCGTTACACACACATACATGGTTTCGTTACACAAGGGGCGTTACACACACACACATGGTTCGAGTGCATTTCTAATAACGCTCCTTTGAGGTAAAAACAGTAGACCAGTCTCGCGCGCTAGAGATAAAAATGTTTTATTCTGTACAATGGTGTCACTGCTTGTATTGAAATCGTTGAGTTTTTATTTGAAAATTTGTAAAAGTTTTAAAAAACAGGAAAAAGGTAATAAAAAAATCGAAATTCAAAATCCGGGCTTCCAGGTTCCCATCTTCTGGTGGAGGACTATGTTATTCAAAATTTGATGGCTCTAGGAACCGTCGTTTTTCACATTGCTAGAAACATACATATATTCATGACGATTTTTCATTATCTAATTTTTTTGAATACAGTACAAGGTGATACTATTTGGTGGCAACAATTTGAAAAGTTATTCAACGCTTTTAGTGATTCGATGCAATGGGCCGTTTCGAGACTTTGAACTAACAATATTTATTGATGGATACTATGGATGTTATCTGTGCGTGCCACTTTCGAGTTTGCGTTTACTTTTTACTTCAGATTTTTTCAAATTATGCGTTAATTAAGAAAAAGTGATGACGTATTTTAGCCTAAAAATCAATTAATTATGTGATTATTTATACTTACATACAGTATACACCGCTTAATGTGATCGCTTGTTTACACGGCTATTTTGATACCATTAAACGATGAGAACAAATATCCACCAAAACATTAATGTAATTTAACTAATTTAGTGTAAATATAACAAGAAATATATAAATAAGTACTTTCGCAGAAGTTTAACTAGGAAAACACAAAAATTTGTTTATGAAAGGTTCCTAAGGTCTTTAACGCAATAGTTTATTTATTAATTGTTCATAACATTTCTGGAAAATATTCTGGAAATTTCTGGTTCTTAATACTCGGAGGGCTCCAACATTTGCTGGAACAGAACACCCAAATGTAAAATATAATCTTAGGCAAAAAAACAATCTTGATTTGACGTAGATGTTTTCAAAAGACGTTTTTAAACAGTAGATTTTGTTTCTAAAAAGAGTCTATGTCTGATCCTCTTCAAAACCGATAAGGTTATTCAAAATTTAAGACGAAAAATAAGGTTTTTGCCTAATTATAAATAATTGACTAAAATCGAAAAAAAGCTTTTTTGCCATGCATTCTCTTATTTGGCGACATTTAGCAATTTTTATAACCTCGTTTCACCATACATGACTATTTACTTCAGCAAAATGTTTTTCTATAATTCTTTAGTAACATTAACCGAATATGTTTTCATGTCTTCGTATAGAAACGGGGATGTCGCCAATTTGATAATAATACTCGAATTATAACATCAACCACGATCACATTAAGCGGCGTCTACTATGTTTCAGAATGTGCGAATTTGAATCAGACTTACGTTTTTTATCATTATTAACTATGAGTAATGGAACGATAAATAAATTTGTTTCCCTCATATTTCATGAGATGGGATGTCAAATATTTTACTAAATTTGCATTAAAAATGCAGCTTCTTTCCTAAATATTGTAACGATCCCTTTACACCGGTCATTTCACCTTTCACATTCAAAATAACAAAGCGTTGCTGCCCTGACGAAAGTAAATGCAGAGAAACACATGTATCACTTCCTGTTTCTTTTCTGATGCCAACTGTCTATGTCAGAATTTCTTGTCTGCTTGATGTTTCCTCTGTATATGTTTATTGCATTTGTTTTTGGATATTCGTATCCTGGTTTAAAACGACAGATCGACAGATGACGCGTCTGAAATCTGTTTCGCTTTTCTTTCTGACTGCAGTTGAAAATAAATGCTTAAGACTATCTTTTTACTTTAGTTTATGTTTACTTTTAGTTTAGAAACCAGTCGTATAAAATTCATATTGAGAGAGACTAAAATTCATAAAAGAGACTTCTAAGATTTTTTTTTTTTTTTCTAATTTCGCTAATTTCACTATTCATCATTTCGCTGTTTCACTATTTTTCATTCATCAGTCAGTCTTAATATAATTTTCTCATAGCAAGATTTTGGATCTAGCAATAAGCCTAATAATCAATTGCTTAAAATGTCCAGAAATGTACCATAAGAATTACATAAAAATCTAATTAAAATATGCTTGATTTTGTTCACTGTAAAACATAATTATTTCAGGTGATGTTTAACAAAGTAGAACTAAAAATGATGTTTTTGAAATACACAAGCAATTTTACTGTATAATTCCAACACCATCGGTATCAATCCATGGGAATTCCGTCCAGTGAATGGACAAACAGGAGCAATGAAGAAATTTTGCTTCTCTGTTTCAGCTTTGTTGTCCGCCGGATCCCTATATATAATTAATTTAATTTGAAACAGATGTTGTAGTCATTTCATTTCGTTGGTGACAGTTGGAGAAGGAAAAAAAGGTAATGTGTTTCAATTTGAAACAAGAGGTGCAATAAAATGAAAAAGAAAATTTTAACTATTTATTTACGTTTCTCTTTGTCTAAGCATGTACGTTTATAATAAAAGCGCTAAAGGATAATAATTAAGGTTTATAATAAAAGCATCTTAAATTAGGGTAAAGAAAGAAATTTAGATTCAGTCACTAAAATACCTACTTTTATCTGATAACAGGTATTACTAATTTTTTAATTATGCAATACGTATTCCATGAAGTATTTCTGAAAATATACCATGTTTGTATATTTAAATGAAAATCTGAATATAAATTGCTTTATTTGCTTTAAATAATAATTTTCTTTTTGAAAATATTTAAACAGATCAGCTCTAAAAAGCCATAATTAATTATTATATATTTTAATATGTTTATAAAATGGATTTTTGTTATTTTATCCCTAAAATTATAACTACTTTTTTATTATTTGTTGAACCGCATGATTAGGTGATCACTAAAAAACTGCTTGTATTCTATACGCGTAACTTGTTCTAACTGTTCTATGTTTTCATGTATAATACCTGTAACCTATTCGCATACGTCATACTTTCTTCCAGACTTTCATATACATTAATACATTATAGCCGTATCATATTATTCCCATATATTATGATCAATATTCGAGTTTCATAGGCATTAATATATTAATACACAGTCACCCTTTAAAATTGTCCTTGAGGAATTTAAGAAACATCTGGACACCCACGATAAATATTATATATAAAAATTAAAAATAAAAAATAAGAATCTGAAAGATTTCAGATTTTAAATTACCCCCAAAAGGGCGTCTTTTTAACATTTGTGTGCTACTTTTATTTATTAAATATTATGTCCTTTGCACTTAAATTCAGTTCAACAGCAATGTCGCAAAATAATTTTAAAATGAGCATAGCTTTAGAATTTCCGATACATTTACACAGTTCTGCGCGCTGGAGATAAAAAGGCTTACCCCACCGTAGAGTGTTGCCATTGCTCGCTTTAAATGGTTGAGTTTGTTAATCAAAAATTCTTTAAAGTTTTGCAAAATATAAAATCGGTAACAAAACAAATTCCAAATTTCAAATTTGGGCTTTCAGATGCCCATATTCGCAGTAGGATTACGTCATTCTAAACTGAATGGCTGTAGGTGCTGTTGTTTGATCACATTGCGAAAACATACATACATTTATGCAGATTCTTCGTTATTTAATTTCTTCAAATATAATACAGGGCGATAGTATTTGGTGGCAATGATTTGAAAAGTGGTACACCTTTTTAAAGGTTTCAACGCAAAATCGCAAAACGAAAGCAATAGTCCTTCAGGCACAAAGTCCCTTTGGAAAGCGAAAAATCACAGTTTCGGAATTTCTGACTCACTATTTTCAGAATTCGTCCTAAAAGAATCTAGACAAGCTCTGTAATAAATAAAAGAGAAATTAGTTACGTTTATTTAATGTATTGAATAGAAAACTAAATGAATGCTAAATGTCAATGGAAGATGTTAGATTACTTAACCTATTTTTAAAGAAATCACGCTGACAATTCAAATATTTTAACACTGAAAATATTCTCCAGTATATTTCCTGACGTACATCTCTTATCCACGACTCGTTCTAGGAAGTTTTTGTTAAATTTAAATATCTAAAGGTACACCGCACGTTATTTAGCGATTCAGCGTGGGTACAGCCCCTTCTTGAATGACACTATCTGGTGTACAGAATTCAAACGGGACTGTATTCACAGACATTTGAGGACAATTCTTTTCTCTGGAGACCTAACGTATGAAAGAAATACTAAGTATGCGTTCCGTAGGTCTCGCGATATTTATAAAACTGTCTTCTTTCGGACGCGAGGTGTTTCTTCGATGAGAAGAGGGTTTAGGATTCCATCAATAACGTCAATCTCCCCCACTCCCTCTTATCGTCTGATGAAACCTTTTGCCGGAAAAGTTGTAGGATTTTGCCTTTCCCTGCAGCCGAATGTCGAAGAACTAACCCCCTTCGAAAAAAGATCTCTGCTATTATTTCTATTTGAGATGTCGTTTCAAGGGTTTAGAATATCTTCTGAGATAGTGTGTATTAAAATATAGGCTTATTTTTAGTTCTCTCAAGATTCAGCGACTGATTTTTCGAGCCGGAGCAGTATGTTCCAGGTAAGAACAAGAATACTGAGATATGCTTACTATGCTTACTTAAAAACACATGCATGTTACAACGTGCACGCAATTATGTGTACTTTTCTCGAACTTGACATTCATGGCTCATTTATGAAAAACTGAACTTTAAAATAATAAATTTTTGCCGATATCTAACAATCACTCATCTTGTAATCTTACTGCCTTTCAAATTATAATATCAAATAAAGCTGCTTTTACTATTCATCGTAAAATTACGTATAAACCATTCACATCTGCTTAAAAAACAGGATGACTCAGCAGCAATCTCTTGTCGAAAACTCTGGAACCGAAAATAATGCGAACTGTCAAGGTAGCAGTATCAACCGAGAAATGATTGAAATGCTTCAGTATCTCAAAAGTAAGCAGACATAGAATCATATGCTCGAAAAGTAAGCTTAATTGCTGTTAACATCGTTAGGCAGTAATTAAATTCAAAAACTCAGAAATGAACATAACAAAAGAGGCAGTGGGATATCTGACGTGAAACTCCCAGTGTTACTTTTCAATCTGATGGCTTTATTAGACTTGTGGATGCGAAACGCAATAAAAAATTGTTGACAAAAACGCGATACTAGCAAAACTAGTTTGAAAGCAGGTTCCTAACCCCAGTTTGGGGAAAAAATGTTCCAGAAGCTTCCTTTTGCCTAGGCCAACCGATAAGAGGAAAGTTCTGCTTCTAGATGGTACACTTCTGATAGTTCTTTCTTTGTACCCCTGGGAGTAACTAGTTTTTCTGAAATGTTTCTTATCGCGTTTAGAGTTGCATAAGTCTGTTAAGGACATTATTTAACATTCTTTCAGTATATGAGCCTCTTCTATCATCTCATGTTGCGTTTTCTATTGTGCTCTTTCTGTCACCTGAGACGTCATCAAATCTGAAATCTATAGAAGAATAAAAAGGGCGTTTACAAAATCAATTATCACATTACAGTTTGCCATTCTGCTTGTGATGCGTCTCTTCTCAGTTGCCGCATGCAAATACATCTTCAACGGTTCATTAGATAAGCTCCTTTCCGTCATCTATTTCGATCTCGAGATTCAAATGTCTTTTCTTTCTAGTGTAACATGAGTATGCCATTTCTTACGATTTCCGATTGCTTCCGTGAAAGCTTATCACACAGATATTGCGCAGTAGCATTATAGTCTTTCCTTATAGGTGATCGATCCTTATAAGAGTAAATATATAGTGTAGATGCATATTCCTGAGCATTTACCTAAAAACACAGAGAAAAACGTTTTCTAATTTTATTGCAAAAATATTCACAAGGTTAATGATACCAAACAAAAGAACATCATCAAAATATTGTCTAATATGCCTTTTTTCCAGGTACCTGCATCGGAGTTTGCTTAAAATTTATTGATAAAAATATTTATTGTCTTGAAAGCCCGATTTAAAATTTTTAATCTTAGCTTCTTAACTTCACAAATGGAACCTAACGTTTACCTTTAATCTAGAAATAAAAATTTGGTAGCTCCTTCATTAGTAATTTTTCTGATTCGTAATCATTTTATCAATGTAGTAATTTACGTTTCGCGATCAAAATAAATTCCTTAAATTTTAATTCCGTATATTTAATTTGGTAGTTTGAATACAATTAAGAAAATTATCTAAACGTTAGTCAGTTCTCAATTCTTTATCCGCCAATTCTTTTCATTTCAATAAATCTGATAAAGAATACAGTTTATAATAAACGAAAATATTAATAGAACCAATAATATTATTTTACGCTTAATGCGAATTAAGTCATCATGAATGGCATTCCAAAACTAATCGGATTATGAATCAGTTGCATCAAAAGAATGTGCATAAGCTGAAGTTATTTAATTAATACATAAACTTCTGAAGTAAGAGTGCATTTTATTTAATAAACAATGTTTTGAATTTTGGAGGAAATTTTAAATCAAAGTATATTGCATACATATTAAGTTATTTTATACACATTTACATATTAGAAAAAAAATCTTTTACGTTATTTTAAAAAGTAGGGTCTGGTTTTATTTCAGTCTGTTATAGATATTTTAACATCATAATTTAACTACTGAGCTAGTTAGTTCCTGTAAACAGATTTATTTAACCATTTCATAAAATTATTTTAAAGATTAGAATGAATTTTCATCTGAGAAAACGTTATGAATATTTTGGTACTTCTTATCAATCGTTTCGTATGGAAAACTGAGAAAATGCTTTCATCGAATAAATAGCATGTATAAATAGGTATTAATATGTAAATATATGTTTTAACAATGTTTATATAAAAATCTGAGTCAGTGTTTTTTGTAAATTACAATAGATAAAAAAATTGCACCATTTTGTGATTCTTTACTTCTCGATAAATTGGCAGAAATATTTTAAATCTATTCCGTTTCCTCGTTGCTCACATAAATAAAACTGTTAGAAAAATGGGAAGCTGGAAATAAATAATCGGAATAAATAAAAATAACCTTCCGCATTTGGAACAAAAATTAAACAACTGCGTTCGCTTTACCTCAAACTATTCTGCTTCTAGTATAATAGAAGGTAGTAAAATATAAAACATTTACTTTCGAAACTGAAGCACTCACTGTCGCATACTTGCGGACTCGCAAGGTGGAATATTATGCTGCTGGAATATGAAAAAAGACAGGAAAAGAAGTTACCTTCAAAAAGAAAATTTGAAACCTACATTTTACCTCTACTTAATCATGCGATCAAGTAATTCTTATAAATCTTTACCAATTCTTAAGAAACGTTTATGAGTCTGTTTAATTTAAAAATAAAAAAAATATTTAGACCCTTAATATATACAGGGTGTCTCAAAAAATGTACTCACACTTTAACTGTCGCTAACATGCTGCCTTTTTTGAACCGTAGGTGTGATTAATTTATCACAGCATAGCACGAAATCAACTTAGCTTGGAAGAGAGGAAGTTTGCATTGAAATGTTACTGGAAGACCGTAAACGCCATTGAAGTGCAAAGACGATACATATAGGAATTCGCAAAACCGCCACCAACGCGCCGGACCATTGCTCGCATCAGAGACAAGTTTGAAACAAATGAAACGGTCCAGAACGTCAACAAGAAACATTCTGAACGACCACGGACATCCACAAACCCTGGGATAGAAGATCAGACGCAGGAAACACTCCTTCGATCACCACAAAAATCTTTTCTACAAACTGCTCCGGAAACCCACATCTCAAAAGATAGCGTCTATCGCATCATGAAGCCATTGCACTGGAAATGCTACATTCCAACACTAATCCATGCTCTCAATGAAGACGATTCTGACCAGAGAGTTCAGTTCTGTGAATGGCAAATTAAATGGCTGTATCAATTTCCATAATTGCACTTATTGGGGTTCTGTAAATCCTCATATAACACTTGAACGCCGTGTAAACTCACCAGGAGTAACAGTGTGGTATGTGATATCCACATTGGGCACCATAGGACCATTGTTTTTAACGGAACTGTCACTGGTGAGAGTTACCTCAACTTGCTTCAGTAGGTTTTCGGTCCACAAATTTCAGAGATGTTTGGTGATGACGACGAGATTTACTTTGCAAGATGGAGGACCTCCCCACTACTATCGCGAATTACGAGCTCATCTAGATGCAGCTTTTACAGACATATCGATTGGATGAAGATGTACCATTGAATACCCACCAGTTCACCAGACCTCATGCCCATGGACTTCTTTTTGTAGGGATATCTTAAAGACAAAATTTATCGCACCAAACCAAGAACAAATGATGTATTGAAATTGGAAATTGAAAGAGAATGTCGTGACATTCTAATGACCTGTTTCGTGACCTTTGCGAATCCCTTGGTGTGCGTTATCAGCGTTGCCCGGACAATGATGGTCATCAATCTGAACATTCACAAACATGATCCCTCAATTATATTTGTCTTCTGTATTCAAAGCCATTCCATTTCACTCTGTGTTCAGAAATAAAGTTTTTCTCGTCATTCAAGTGTGAGTACATTTTTGAGACACACTGTATTATTAGTAATACCCTAAGCAGTCAAATAAGACAGCAACTGTTTTAAAGAAAATGAAATTTTACTCATTCATACCCCGGCAAAAAAGATCGAATTATGAATTATTATTGAACGTGAATAATAACTATTTTACATTAGTCTCAGAAATTATGCATTAACCTTTTTAACATGGGGTAAATTACTCAAATACAATTTAGAAAACGTATTTATGTTAGAATGGAAAAAAAATATCGATGCGTGATTGACGCTAAAATTACGAATATTTCGCATTAAAAAGATGTTTTTGAAATAATTATGTACACGAATTTACTGTCTATTAAAAGGTAAGCTGTAGTAGCCCTGAATTGAAGAATATGATTTAAAAGATTTTACCGTATTTTTGGATTTGTTTTCCTCTAAATATTTTAATTTTTAGTCCCGAGCATTCAAATGTTGCTCCACGTACATCATCTACGACAGAATTATCTAGAATACATGTAGGTCGCAGAGTGCAGCTTAAAAGCGGCACATGTTGTTTGTTTATGAACTAAAAAATCTCCGTATAAAATGTAAAAATGTATTCTTTTAAAATTAAAATAAATTTCATGAGGCGTTTTCTTACCACTAAAGGATTACTGCAATGTAGGCAAAGCACGGGACAGCTAGCTCTTTTACTAAGCTGTTTCTCAATTTTGATAGAAAGCATCGTAGAGATATTGCTATGCACCAGATGATTCTAGACATTTATGAAAGAAAAAAAGACATATTATTGCGTTGAATGGATAATTGGAATTTTTAGCCCAAGAGGATATGTTAGTCTCGAAATTTGATTTTGTGTCCGTTCATTACAAACGGCGTATCACTTTTCAAACACATGACACCAAATATTATCCCCTTGTATTATTTTTAAAGAAATTAAATAATGAAAACTCTACGTATCTGCATGTATCATCTGCATTCCTCACACTGTGAAAAAATTATTGTACTTAGGGCTATCAAATTGTCAATGATATAACATTCAATGTGTATACCGTGTATTCGGAAGGTGAATTATGTATAAAATATAAGAGGTAAACAAATGCTTTTAAAATGTTATAAATGTAATAATTATATACGTAATTTGCAGATCTCGTAGTCGGAAAACTTTGCTGTGCGAAGTGATGTGGAAAATTAGATGAAATATTTAATTTCACAAAGCAAAGGATTCGAATGTAGCTATTGACATTGCAGCTGTAAATATTTTCATGTCAGATGTAAATATAGATGTTGTTTTATTAAACTGTAATTCCTTTATTAATATCTATAAAAATTTGCATAAAATTAAATAATGTTCAAATGTGAAGCTAAATCAATACATCGCATTTCCATTACGTAGTGTTGCTTCAGTTACTTGGATAC